GAATCATGGGATTATAATACGCGTAGATAGTTTCCTTTTTTTCGGTCCTAGAGAATTCTTTATATTGATTTGTATTGTCCTGTAAATGATTAATTCCAATTAATGAGAATTATTAAATTTTCTCTCATCTTTATCAGTTTTCATGATAATCTACCACCAAACCGGGAATCCTGAACAAGGACATGTAATAAATTAGGACGCTCGCAAGTACGGATTGAATCAATGTTAGCCTCCCACCCCTCGATAAGAAACTTTTCTTCCAACCATCCAATCTTTTATTCACCTTATCTAGGACTAGAGACCAAAACTCTAGTGACAACGGGTTCCCTCCCAATGGCAAAGCCAAATATTTCATGGGCCATTCTCCCACTTCACAACCCAAGGCCACTGCAAATTCTTGTATTAGATTCTCCTCAATATTAATACCCACCAGCGTACTCTTCCCCAAGTTCATTTTCAAACGCAAAGTGTAAAGAATTCCAAAATTACCTTATCATCCCTGATGTTATCTAAGCTTTGCCCCCAACAAAAACGTATCATCCGCACACTGGAAGTGTGAAACTGAGACCCCCTCTCTACCAATTAAGAAATCCTCCACAACTCTCGATTCTAGAGCTTTGTCCATTAATCTCCCAAGCATGTGAGCTACAATGGTGAAAAGGAAGGGAGATAACGGATCTCCTTGTCTTTTTTTACAAGAAACTAGGAAACTTCATTAAACGAAAAAAAAATTACAAGTGAAGGTTCGAGATGGAAGAGGATTCCATCATAGAAAATAGAAAAAATATTACAAATGAGAAAGACTAAAAAATCAAAACCAAAATAGATACAGAAAACTAGTCTGCATCTGTGACCATAGCGACGTAAGAAATTTTTCCTTAACAAAAAGATCTTCAAAAGACATCTCCTTATCCTAAAAAATTCTGATTTCTCTGTATCTAGATGACCCATAAAACAACTAGAATCAAAGCTCTCCAAGTTTTCTTGGCTTTTTTGTCCCTCCTAAATCTGAAAAAATTCTCCACAACTATAGAATTACATCGCACAAGAAAAGGCCAAGGTATAGCAGCTACTTCCAAAACTCCACCACAACTTCCTAGCCAACTCACAGTGCAAAAACAAATGGTCTACTGTTGCAGAACTGTCTTTACACATAACACACCAGCTAGGAGACAAGGATATATTAGAGCGTTGTCTTAGCACTACATCACAATTATTCAACTTTCTATGAAAAAACAACCAGGCAAATACCTTAACTCTACAAGGAGCACAAGATTCCAAATGGATTTAAAAGGCTCAAAGCGAGGATTATTTGGATTTTTTATCAAGGATTGAAAGAAAGAATACATGAAAGCCCATTCGAATCCCCTTCCCAAATTCGGACATCACACTAGAAGGATTTGGAGAAAAATTCCCTAAAACCTGCAACAACTTCAAAAGTTGATCATATTCTCTTCATTGAGATTTTTGCAGAAACCAAAGTTCCAATTTACAACGGAATTACCTCCCACGATCAATACATCTTTTATTTTCACCTCCCTATCATTTATAAGACTATAAAGTCTTGGAAAAGTGATTGCAAAAGGCTAATCACTGCACCGGTGGTCTTCCCAAAATCTCACAATACTTCCATCTCCCACCTTTCATTTCTTCTGCTCAAGAAGTGATTGTAGACCTTGAGATATTGATTTCCAAGGATTCCTACGAGCACTTTTTAGGGTAGTTGATAAAAGTAAATTGATGAATGACCAGCTAACTTAGGGGGCGCTAAAAAATGGCATCAGAGCACAACGTTTTTGGTGACTTATTTAGAACGTCAAGGGACTAAAAAGTCTACTAACTATAGAATCATTAGCTTTCTAGAATTGCTATTGAAGTGGAGAGATTGGAACCCCAAAATTTAGAGGACAAAAATTTTTATGAGGAGGGAAAAATTGTAATACCCAAATGATTGTGGCGACACTCCTTGAAGCATGAGGTTAGCATGTAAGGATTTTGAATTATATTTTTCATATAGGAATACTTTTGGAAGGTTCAAAAAATATATGTATATATGTGGCAACATAAAGTTGTTTTATATTGTCGGTGGAATAAGTTTATAACATGAGTTTTGCATAGTGCTTGATGTAGGTGATTATATGGCTTTGGGGTTTAAGCTTCTTTCATATGGAGACAAATGGCTAGATTCATGATTATGCCAAATAAATACTAGTTCTCATTAGTTGCCCAAAAACTAAGTCTATATGAACATCTATCTTTACCTCTTTCTCCACCATTAGACCTCTGCAACAATGAAGGTCTTTCTTTGCTATATATATATATATATATATATATATTTTTTTTCAGACCTTCAGCATCATTTGTAGGAGCTATCTAGAAGTCGATAGAAGTAAACACTCCAATATAGATATATACTTGTCCATTTTAAGAGAAACTGTGGAGGAGATTTAAGAAACATACATCTTGACTCTTATTCTTCTTTGGAGAATTTAAAAGGTACGATCTTTTATGGCCATAGTTTCACAGGATTGAACAGGACCTTGTTGCGTAAAAGAATTTGACTCTCTTTGTGAAACATCCTCATCCTGTAATTGAAAATCGAATGAGTGATACCCCATTTGAATTAATGAGTTCTCTAAAACAGGTCTATGCAAAGGAATAGTTACATGTCCCTTGACCGAAGATGCACCCCCATTTGGCTCTAATCCAAACAAACCTGATATATCCTTAATGATATCATCGCCCCCTGTTCCTCTAATTCTTCCTCCTCCGTGTCTGAAATATAAGAGCCTTGATCTTCCAAATCTTCACTCTCACTCTCTAATGGAAACCAAAACTGATTAGCATCCAGTTCTTCCTCTCCCTCGTCCAGAAAATCTTCCATCACCTCCATTCTGTCTTCCATAAAATCATCCTCCTCCTAAAAAGCCCACATATAAGGTTTCCTCCATTTGTTTTTAAAATATCTCTGTAAGAACATATTGTTTTGCGCTTGGATATCATGGTTTCCTTTCTTTGCATGGTCCACCTCTTGATTGAATGATGCCTGGCTTTTTCCTTCGTTATTTTCTTCCCTTGCTCTGCTGGATGACGCAGACTTTATTTCACCCTTTGTGAAATAAATTTTTTCTCTAGGTTTGAACGACGCAATTTTGCCTCGGTGAAAAATCTCATGTCTCCGCATAGATCCAATCCAAGGCTAGGAGCCGAATGAGTTGGACATGGGCTTATTACAACTCCTTTTTCCTTTTCAAGAGCCCATTGATCAGATTTTGATTTCATGGGCTTCCTAGTAGGCATTGGGCCATATTCACTGTTTCCATTAATGGGCCCATTACTTGATTTCATTGCTAATCCATTAGGGCAACTTTTTTCTAATTCTTCAAGAGCCCATTGATCAGATTTTGATTTCATGGGCTTCCTAGTAGGCACTGGGCCATATTCACTGTTTGCATTAATGGGCCCATTACTTGATTTCATTGCTAATCCATTAGGGCAACTTTTTTCTAATTTGCTATCTGAAACATCTTCGTATATCTGTAACAGATTTAAAGCTTCAAATTCGTTTTCCATCCGAAATTTAAGGCCCACCGAATCATTAATTTGTGGCGCATGCGCACTATTTATAGATTCTCCTCCCTTTCTTCCTCGAGGGTTTCTTTGCTTTCCCTGATAGTTCCTTTGCGTCCTTTGACCTTCCAAATTCTCTTTGGTTGTATCTCCGTATGTATGCCCTCTATTCCAAGTCCACGCTATACTTTGCATGGAATTGTCCACGTTTGAATCTAGTTGCCACCTGATCATCTTCGTTCATGTCTGCATAACGCCTGAATATCACATCGTTCATGATTTCTGATGTTGAAGAGCCCAAGGATTGAATGCATGAGACCTTCCTTTGGACCTCTAATCTTAATCTTTGCGTATTGCAGAAAAGTCTGGTTCAACGATTCTGGAGCAATTTCCAGGAGTCCACCACACGCCTCTCCAATCACTTTGAGGCAATAAATGTTTCAGAGATTGAGAGTAAGACCATCAATCCAACTGTTTCTGGCTTCTATATGGATATAACCGCTTCCATATCATCTTCTTTCTTCCTTTCATGTTCACCCAAGGGCTCTTTGACTCTCCTCTTGTCTAATTTCCCCTTCCCATTAACCTGCTTCAGCCAATCTTTTTGTTGTCTCCTGGTAGTATAATGCTCCTAACTGCTCCACCATTAATCCTCGTTATTTTCAAGTAATCTCCTCTAGCATTCTTGAGTACCTCGATGATGACCACACCGTTGACCATTGAACTTCCTTTTGAAACAATCCACTTTCTCACTTCTCAAAATGAATTCCATCATTTGGCATATCCATGTTGCTACTTCTAGAAAAACTGAGATAAAGAAACTAGGGTTCTTATAAAACTCTTCTAATCCCACTGACCCCCGTCGTTGCTTAAAGAAATTCTATATAATTTCGGACCAATTCGAAATTCATGAAAAATTTGATTCAAATCTATTTTAGTTATGGCAATAAACGAAAATATAGGATTTCTTGCTGACCATCCAACATTGCATAAGGAAATTCTATACAATTTCAAACCAATTCTAAACTCATGTAAGAACTGATTCAAAACTGTTCGTGCCATAATACTAAAGGAACAAAAAACAATCACGACCCTTAAGATTATGCACTGCAAGGTTTTCTTGCTTTTTCAAATATCTTCCCAGATAAGTGTCCAAGTAGACAAGGAACCTCTCGTATCTCATATTTTTTGCATTGCTTCCTCTTTATGCTTCCTATGTTTATACCCAAAAAATTTTGAGAAAAAACTTTTGCAGCAATCTAAAAGAAGAAGCCTCCAGGAAAAAGATGCAAAAGAATAAGTAAAAAGAAAAAATAGTGGGACAGCATAACTCAACAACACAAAAACTTTCTGTACAAGTAGAAAATACTGGGCATGTAAATTGAATAACTTCAGCGGTAAAAAAAGTTGAACAGGCAAAAGCTAAGTACCTCTTCGCTGTGAGTGCTGAAAACCAGATCCTCTCTTAAAAAATTCATATCCTTTAAATGCTTGACGTATTTTGGTAAAAATCCTTTATGGCTTGAAAGACCAAACAAAGGATCAAACAATGAAATTAAGTTATTAACTTGTAAGAGACATGTTAGTAATGTTGAATTTGAAATCCAAAAGAATAGGGAAATAGCGTGGAGAATAAATTCTCTCTTAAGCTACCAACAAACTGGCTAGCAACTTCTAAAAAAAATGTTAATGAACATGACAAAATAACTATAAATTCCAATAGACAAATGTCAATCTATCGTACAGATATGCTTCTACTGGGATCTAGGAATAAAACCACAACATAATATAAGGTTGTTTGCACTAGTGCACTCAGAGCTTCTTGGTGTTGCACTGAGTACAGAATCTTCAATTTTGGCAAATGAGACCCTCAATTTGAAAGTTTGTTGCTAGCATAGTCCAGTGGATAATGCACGTTAATCAATAAATGGAAATGCCACAAGATTTTTGCATAAATGCACCCCAAGTATTGTTGTTTGGCAAGTTGGACCCAAACTTTTTTACTTTTTACAAGCAGAGTTCAATGGGAAATATTCATTATCCTTAACAAAAGCTTCAGTGTTTTTTCCCCTTCTCTTTAAATATGATCATCTTTTTTCCTTCTACTCTAGTTCAGAAAGAGAAAAGATAGACAGAATGTAGAGTCTGTACCTCTTTCCATCTGGATGTGTGATAACAATGTCCATATCCCCGCAGGAAGCTTTCCCGCGTCTAAATGATCCACCACAGATGACTACCACCTACAAGAAGCGGATGCCTTCAATCAAAAGAATACAGAATCTCATGCTAGAGTGCAGATTCAATTTGCAGACAAGGCTTAACATTTCAGCTTACAGGTTGATAAATTGCAACTTGATTTATGTGTAGGTAGTTCTCTCAGTCTTCTAGAGGGTATCTTTTGTACTTACAACTTTTATTTTCAACTACGGCATCTCATTTTTTTTTTTTTTTATAAGGAACATCATTCCATTGATGATAAACATAAATTCCAAAGGAAGACAAGATGTCCTCAAGATAAATCAATACAAACAAGAAAACAAACAGCCAAAGAACTCTTAAATTCTTGGTTGTCAAGACTCGAACCGCGGAAATGTAAAAGTCAGACTCCAATTTTAGCTTTCAAGAGGGGCAAAAAAAAAAAAACCCCCTCCAGTTTTAGCTTAATAAGAATCCACTTTAAGTATACTAGCGGTTTTGAGAGTGCATTAATATTCCTAGAAGATTAAAATTCCAGAGAAGGAAACCACAATCATAGCTTTTTGGAAAAATATAAAGCTCAATAATGAATGGATCACAAGTTTAAGTTTCAAATATTCATTTGTAATCACAGCATGAGCCTCATAGATTAACTGAAATAATGACTTCCAAACTTGAAATGTGTAGAACGGTACATCAAAATCCCCTTTTTTCTCATTTATATCACCTATTTTTGCAAAATACTCCTGGTCTCCAAAGCAATTAACAAACTGAAGGTCGTCACTTCTGTTTGCAATCATGCAATTTGTTCATCCTTGATCTCTTTCCCAGGATAATGAGGAACAAAGCTCAAATTCCAATAACCACACTCAAAATCCAAACGACATTGCACATGTTCAAAATGAAGCAAAGAAAGAGATTACACCTGGTACGAATCATGCAGACTTATCTAAAAATGGAAGCATACAAAAGGAGACATTTAGATAGTGCACCTATTGATGACCACAAAACAAATTTAAGTTCGGGTATGTTGATTTAACAGTTCAATCTAAACATTATTTAGCTCACCCCAGGTAAAATATCCTCTACAGCTTTCTTTAAAAGGGATTCCATCTCTTGAACCTAATACATCAAAAGCCAAAAAAAAAAAAGAGCACCGATTAAATCTTGGTAAAGGTAAGACAATATAACAAATTAGGAAAACTAGTAATAGATAGACCTCATGACGTGGTATCCTCTGCTTGATGTCGTGAAAATACTTTAGACCTAGCTTCTGTGCATTTGTTAATGAACTTTCGTTCTTCAAGTCATCCAGTGTTCGGTGTCCTTTCTCGTATAATTTCAACGCAGTGGCAGGACCAATGCCCCAAACTTCACCAAATAGGCTAATAGTTCGTACCTAATTAATAAACAAGAAGGATAAGCAGTATTAAGTGTCAAAAGCCATTCAAAGTCAAAACTGATGTTATTAAAAAAAATACAAAAAAAAACAAAAAACAAGAAAAAAAGGCAAAAAAAAAGTGCATTTCTACTTCTATTCATATACATATAAAAGAAATGAATCGTGGAAAATATTCCTCCACCTCAATTGTCTTCTTAAAAGACAAATATAAACATGAAAGCAACAGAAACTGACGTTATTGTTTGTTGTAACTTAAAACAAACATTTGCAAATATCTAACTTGAAATCAGCCACTAGTCCTAGTGTACCACAAGCAACATAGGAGATCCTCAACTGTAATATCCAAGAGCCTTGGCAACCAAAGAACCAAATAGCGAATAAAGTTCTTGAATCAGAGAACCTTTGCAGTTCCAACACCTTTTCATCTGTTTCGAAATGCTCCAACTTGGATAATTTCCCAGTGGTGACAATCTCTTGAATCTGCCAAAAAGGAATACACCAACAATACCTAATTGGACATGAAGACTAAATTTCAAGACTAGAAAAATAAATGTTTAAATGTACTTATACTGACATGATCTTGCATGGACTTGCCAATGGAGGGCAAGTGTTTGACCTGCTCAGCACTCTCAATATTGAAAGGAAACTTCTCAATAACAGGTATTGCCTTGTAATAGCTAAATGACCTCCTATCATCGCCCAACGCTTTTCCCAGATAGATATGTCTTAATCAGCAAAAGTATATGATAGAAGAATTCTTTGGTAGGTTAAAGAATACACCTCACGACATAGTTCTACTTTGTAAGAAATTAGATCATCACATTCTGTTATATCTGCATAATTTTTTGTTAAAGTCTAATGTAATCCAACGGTAAAATGTAGCACCATTCCGATACGGTATTCTTTTTGCCTCGCCAAACCAAAGAATTCTTTAAGAAACAAAATATGAAAACAATTATTGTTTCTTTCATTAGGGCTTTTACCTCTATATATGTCAATGAGCCTCCCAAATATCTGAGTTATGTTCTTGTTCAAGTCAGGCGGATTATAGTTGCTCAAACCAGTCTCACTTGTAGCTTTAGTTTCGCTATCAACATTAGTATCATAAGACTTGATCTTTTTACTATCTGAGCCACGATCTTCTTCTTGGTCCTTGTGTTCTTCTTTCTGATCACTAGCCTTGCGTTTTGCGCTTTCTTCGGCTTCAGATTCAGACTCCATTTTGATGTCATACATGTCCTCGGACACCTTCTCTCCCGAGGTCAAGCTATCTTCCAACCACCGGTAGACCAAAACTCTCTTTTTCCCCTCTCACAAAACCATATCCGGAATTCAACAATATGACAAAATAAAAAATTCAAAACCCCAATGTTGCAATTCGTGCTAACAAAAGAACTCACTCCTAACAACATTATGGATTTCAAGAATGGAGGACGAAAATTTTAAAATGAAAATAAAAAATTCCAACCACTAATTTTGCAAAGAAACTCACTCCTTGGAGAATAGTCCGGAGTTCAACAATGTAGGATAAAAAGGAAAAAAAAATCAAAAACCCTAATTTTGCAAAGAAGACTCCTTGGAGAACATTCCGGGTTTCAAAAATGTAAGATGCAATAAAAATGAAATTAAATTCGAAACCCTAAGTTTACAATTCGTGCACTGCTTGGAGAATATTCCGCATTTCAAGAATGGAGGACAAAAACAATATAACAGAAATGAAATTGAAAACCCTAATTTTGCAATTCCTGCACTACTAGGAGAACATTCCTCAGATGAACAATGTAGGACAAAAAAATAAAAATAAAATGAAATTCGTAACCCTAATTCCGCAATTCTTGGTGAGACAAAACAAAAACTCACTCCTTGGAATCGGGACAAGCGATCGGCGTCAATCTGTTGGAGAAGCGAATCGGAGTTGATGGCGAAGACATGGGTGACGATTTTGGTGAGACGGTCTTCAATGGTGGCTCCCATTTGTTGCAGTTTCTGCTTCCATATCTGATCAATTGCTTTCAAGGTCACATACTAACTAACTAAGACTGGTTTGTTTATAGAGAGAGTTTAGAGAGAGTTTACCTGCAAACGACGGATGGGGACTCCGATAGGGACTAAGAAGACGACCATGCCGGAGAACATTCCAGTGGGCGCGGAAGGTCGCTCCAGCGACGGTGAGCCTTCGCTGTTCTTGCTCTTCTTCTTCTTTGGCGCCATTTTCAACACCGACAATTGGAATAGCTCCCTTTTCGTTAACAACGAAAATCTCATAAACGACAACAGCAGAGAACCGACATCAACTAGGGTCCGTTTGGAAATGCTATTATTATAGACTGGTTTTGGCTTTTTTTTTAAAAAAGATTAATTATAAAAATTTCCATTTATACTCCTTTTAATATTTTATTTTTTAATTTTTAAAACGTGACATATATTTCTCTTAAATAATAAAATATTTATAAAAAATTCTTCTATTAAGTTGTTAATTAAAATTAAAATTTAATTTATTATTTTAAGAGTATTTTAAAAATTATATTATTTAAAATTTAATTTATATTTAAACTAATTTAAATATTTAAAAAGCTTTATAAATTTTTTTATTCTACTAATAAAGACTCATAAAAAGTTTAACTTACATTCAATCACTAATAAATATATCATAATTAAAAGTTTAAATTTAAATTAATTTTAAATTTAAACAAAATTTTATACTATAAAATTACTAAAATACTCTAAATAAAAAATTAAATGTCAATTTATGTTTAAAAAATTAACGGATGACTTTTTTTATTAACATTGGAGAACGGATATTATATTTTAAATAATAGGAAACAAAGTGTTATAATAAGTATAGTTTAAAGGAAATTTTTATAATTAATACTAAAAAAAGTTACAGCATGTTATTATGTTTAGTAAATCATGTTTTTATCCCACAGTTTTTAAAATTATTGTCAAATAGTAAAATTTAAAAAACAAGTAAGGGATTACTTTTGCACAACAATTTTTATTATCATTGTCCAAATTTACTTAAACAATAACATTAATAATAATACTTAGTTATCAATTTACCTATTTGACTTTTTTATTCCAAATTAAAACACATATATTTTTAAGTAATTATTTAAAAATTGAAAATCTTTAACAAGTATATTATGTTAAATTTGATTCAAATTTTTTTAATAATTATGAAGATGCTTAAAATAACAATAATAAATAAAAAATTTAACAGATGAATAATTTTTTCTATCAGTAAAATAATTTATTTTTAAAAATATTTTAATCAATAAAATTAAAATTATATTTTTTATATTTTGAACATTGACCAAAAAATAGAAATAAAACTAATTATAAATATATACTAAAGTGTGTCTATTTTTGTCATTATCTTCACAATAATTTTATACACAATATACTAAATATTTAAATTTCTGCTTATGAAAGTCACAACAGTTTTGTAAAAACACTTGCCAAACACTAAATATACTTCTAATCATATAGCAACTTATTACTGACAGTACAGTCAAAACAAAAAATTTAACAATATATCAATGTCTAACTGGCCCTACAAAGATTAAGGATGGAAACTACCATTACTCTAGGAAACGATAGACATGAACAAAAACATTTTTAAATTAAATTAATCAGAAGTCTCAGAACTTTTTTCTTTTTTTATAATTAATCCTTGAACCAAAAATTATTCTATCTTTGACCTTAAATGCCTCAGTTACATTCCGTTAATTTTGAATGAAAAATATGAATAGTCTCGTAATTTCACCTCAAAGAGACACTTTTGTGATTTTAACATAATTAAACCAAAACTTAAAAAATTGAACTATTTTGTGAACCTTAAAAACTGTCCCCCTCTCGTATATAATAATAAAACAAAAAACAAAAACAAACCTTTACGAGAAAAGAAAAGTAACTTATGGGAATAATAAAGAAGGCACCTCCAATTTATGAGGAAGGAATGCAGTTTCATAGTAAAGTAATTCTTTAGATGATTAAGGGGTTGTTTTTTTAGAGTGTAATTTGAGTGTAGTTTTTGAGTTAAATTTGAGTTATAACCTGAGTTGAAGTTGTAACTTGAATAAAGTTGAGTAAAGTTGAATAAAGTTGAAACTTAAAAGAATGTGAACTTGAATAAAGTTGAAACTCGAGTTGTCTTTTTTTAAATTTTTTAGACAAAAGAACATGCATTAAATCAGTGGGCTACATACTTGTATCCTTTAATTTGAAAACATCATCATTTGGATTTGCAATCGTCTCTTTAAACGAATCGTGCACAAGAAACACGTAACAAAAACACATAACTAAATCGCAAGAACATAAGGGAATAAAAACTCAAACACGTTTAGTTTGTTGATTTGAGTTTTTAATTCGAGTTGAAATGTGATTTTATGTAAAGGCTTTTTACTGTAGCAAAAAAATTAGACGTGACTGTTTCTGAGAGCTTTTTACTGTAGCAAAACTCGAATTCTAAACTCGAATCGGTGAAATGAATGAGACTTTAATTTACACCTAGCAAAAAGAAATTATAAGCTTAGTTTGATAGTACTGTAAATTTTAGAAAAATTACTTTTAACTATGCTGAAAGAAGAAGCAGCTGTTACAAAAAGCAGTTGAGTGTTTGGTAAATTATAATTATAGTAGCTGTGCTGATTCTAAAATCAGTGTAACAGCGTTTGATAAATTATGAGGTTGACATACTGTGAATAATTAAAAACTACGACTGTATTATATTATACTATAATATAATATTTAGTTATTATTATATTTAATATAATACAAAAAACTATTATTATATAATATATTATATAATTATAATATAGAATATAATAATATTATTGAAATAATAACTAAATAATTAAAAATAACGATTATATTATATTATACTATAATATAATATATATAATTGCACTATAATGTATATTTATTATTATATTTAATATAACACAATAAAATTATTATTAAATAAAATATTATATAATTATGATATAGAATATAATAATATTATTAAAATAGTTGATATAATTACAATATTATAAAACATATT